TGGCAACAGTTTTTATTTGGTAGGATATTTATTTTAATTTGCTTTTAATGTGATAATCAAGACCTAATTAATAGGATCTACCGATGTTTCAACAAGAAAAACATTCATAATCTAAGAATTCTAAGAATTTTTTCATCAAGTAAATGGCTAGTTTCTCTACAATTCCTCCATTGAAGAGTTATCATATGTCATCGGCACCCTCAAGCAAAAATATTTCTCCCTTTCATCAATGTCCAAATTCTTCGATATGGGATCACCATGTCACGTGGACTCAAATGCCTAGAAAATAGGCCTGAGCGTGGGTTGGGTTCGATTATTTTTAAGACCAACCCAGCATTTTTGATTTGACAATAACTTCAACCGAAATCAACCCACTCACAGTTGAAACCCAAACCATCTTAATTGGTTTGGAATTGAGTCCAATTCAAGTTGAACCCAATTATTCTTTTGTTGGACAATTTTTTTAGGGGCCCAATGGTTGGGATCTTTTTCGTTGAATTCGAACAATTTTTTTAAGGTTTGAAACCATTTCAAATTGAACCAATTTTAGTTACATTAAAAGAGGGGACAACCACATAACTACTACATTATAAAATATATTTCACAATTGACAAACTCCCTTAAAACTTTCATAAACCAGGTGATAAATTGAAAATATTAAATATATAAATATATAATGTAATATACACTAAATTTGGATAAAAAAATTATAATCTCCTACAATTTAGTTAATATACCTTATTTAAAGATATTTTTTATTTTCCAACCATAATCAAACGAGATTTTCTCTCTACAAAACGGGTTCCACAAAAACTCTCTCTCTACACAACAGATTCATCAAAAACTCTCCAAACATCACGAATATTTCACTGGCATTCCTCAATTTCAAGCTACAATCGAGCAATAACGTTACAATCTCGTCGATATACTGCTAATTTTCATTTAATTGGAGAAAGTTGAAGCTGGAGTATGGAAGAATTCGATTTGCCCAAAGCGGAAATTGAAGTTTTGTGATCTGACTTCGAAGGTAAGCTTATAATTACTTAGCATAGCTTATGATTTTGAAGAAATAAGTGTTTTCGAAGCTATTGAGACATTTATCCAAACATAATCAGAGATTTCACGCTATTAAGAATAAACTATATTTTGCCCAGTGTGTGACGTGTGTTTTTTCATTAACCATTGGTAGTATGCAATTTTTGTTTTTAATTTACAGTTATGAACATGTTGATCTATAACCGTTTATGTGATTTAATCACATTGGTACATATTTCTGTTAACTGTGACTTGTTGTGACCACTGAATTAAATAGATTGTGACATATATGTTAAATGACTTGACAGTCCATAAGTAGAATTAGTTTATTTTGTAATCAATGCCATTGCATTGAAAATTGATTCTCTGCGACAATAAATTTGTTGACCGTATGTGAATATATTCACATTAAATAACTTCTGTGACCTTTGTTGACATATCTATGACTTCTTCATATGTGGCCTGTATTCATTATTGTCATTGCATCTGATCGTTTCTTGATTTTAGTGAATGAAGTGTGACATGCTGTTATTTGTTTGTGATCAGGGATGACAATTTTGAACGTTTGCCTGTTATATGGAGGTCACATATCACTTATACTAGTGAATGATACGTGCAAGTATGATGAGTTGGTTAACCTTGTTATTTCAGAATTGGGGATTAATCATGCAGAAGTAGGTGCGAGATTAACATATTCTTTGGATTCTAATTTACCTTCAGTTCGGATACTAAGTAATAATAATGTCTTAACGTATTTGAGGCTAAGATCTTTGGATGTCATTGTATTGAACTATCCAATTGCAGTTGGTGTTATCACTACATACTCATGGCAGTCAACATGTGCATTGCAATGCCCAGAGTCGTCAATTACTAGCATTGAGTCATCAGCTAATGTTTTTTTTAAAAACAAATAGCTCAGGATATATGTGACTCAGTTACTACAATTGAGAACGAAAACATTGAAGAAGATGTGACATTGATATCTCAAGCAAATGCTAGAGAAGTAGTGGAGGGAAATGTTTTCTGCAACAAGGAAGTACTGAAAATGAGCTCGGCCCTCTATGCCATACAAAACAAATTTGAATATAAGGTGTTGAGATTGGATAAAAAAGAGTACGTAATAAAGTGTTCCCAAGATGATTGCAAGTGGATATTTAGATCTTCACGCTTGGGAGAAACAAAAATGTTTATGATCAGGAAAATCTGTAATGGTCACACATGCTCAATAAACATTGTTTTAAGATCTCATCGACAAGCATCTAGCTCAATGGTGTCAAACTACATCATATACAAATACACTTCTTCACATACAATATACACTCCTAATGATATCTCAAATGACATGTTACACGAATATGGAGTATCGGTGAATTATATGAAGGTATGGAGGTTACGTGAGCAGACATTAAAATTGATTAGAGGTGATCCAACAACATTGTTTCAGTTGCTACCTTCTTATTTTTTATGTTACAACAGTGAACATAGGGGCAGTCACACGAATAGAAACTGATCATTTAGATAGATTTAAATATTGTTTTATGGCTTTGGGTCATCGATTGCTAGGCCAGTCATTGTTTTTTATGGTACATATTTAAATGGTCATTACGGGTGTACACTCTTTACGGCTTGTACACAAGATGCAAACAACAATATCTTCATACTAGCTTTTGGAATTGGGGATAATAAAAAGGACAAGTTATGGAGATGGTTTCTTGAGATGTGGAAGAGGGCGTACGGATCTAGAGATGGATTATGTATAGTATCTGATAGACACAATAGCATAAGAAACATCATTGAATTTGTATATCCAGAGACAATGCATGGGATCTGTTTATACTATTTGCTGAAAAATTTGAAGTCTCATTATGCAAAATTAGGTTACAATGTCACACATGCATTCAATTCTGCTGTAAGAGCTTATACAGTAGATGAATTTGAATACCAAATGCAGCAATTAGACTCAATAAATGAAGATATCAGGGAATATTTGGTATGTGATTGTCTGAAACATATGTTATATGAGTTCCTGTCACTTTTTCTGTGATGTTATGAAATTTCTATGAATATCTGTGATCACGCATGCTTAATGTACAAACTATATTTTATTTATTGTTACATGAAATTGAAACACGATTATGAATGAAATATACAGTGCATATTTAGCATGTGGTCTCATTTACAATAGAAACATAATATATTTGTGACATGTTCTGTGATAATACTGACTATCTGTGAACTTTTTAGAGTTAACCGTGACCATATGTGACTTCTTACTTGAATCTGTTATCTAATAACTAAAATTATTTTGTCGTTGGATGTTGGATATGAAAAATGGTCAAGATTGCACATGCCAACCAATAGATACTCTACTCTGACATCAAATATAGTAGAATCTGTTAACACAGTCACGAAGGCGGCAAAAAATTACCCCATTGAAGCACTTCTAGAATCATTGAGGCAAACGGTCCAATGTTGATTTTGCAAAAATAGAGATGACGCGCATAACACTTTCACAAAGCTTGCAACAAAATATGAGAAGTTGTTAAGGAAATGAGCAATGATGTGAAAAATCTGAAGGTAAAAACAAGAAAACTATGTTTATTATGTTAATCACAAGTATAACTTTAAATATTTTTTATTTTCAAGTTTCACCTACAAGTCACACTTTGTTTGAAGTGGGGGACAATTCTTCATCATACATGATTGATATAACTCTACATACATGTAGTTGTAGAATGTTTCAAGTGGATCAACTTCCCTGTCCACATGCACTGACAGTTATAGCAACATTGAAGTTGAATGTATATGAGTTTTGATCGGTGTATTACACAAGAGATGCATATCTAAATACCTATAAAGAGACTGTCTTTCCTGTAGGTAATAAATCAGAATGCAATTTGTCAGAAGATGTAAGTAATAAAGTTGTTTTTGTTCCAGACCAAAAGAGAAGTTCTGGACGGCTTACTGAGAAGAGAAAGAAGTCAGCATATGAAAGATCACAAGTTGTGAAATGTGGAAGATGCAGTGAATTCGGGCATAATCTTCGAACATGCAGAAACTTGGTGCCACTTAACCAGAATGACAAAAAATTGAAAATAAAGAAAGATCCAAAAAAATTCAAATAGCTTAGCATAATTTTTTTACACAATGATATTCTTTGTAATTGAAAATTATTTCATTTTATTGTCGAACTCCGTATTTTTTGGATTATACCAGTTGATAGATTTATGCATTGAGCTTTCATTAGATCTCATGATGTCACATATTTCTGAAAAAGGGCTATGTAAACAGACATTGATTGTGACTCTGTTTTTTATGATTGTGACTGTCTGTGACCATTTCTAGCATAAAATAAGTTCTATGTTTTTTAGTTTAACTTGTGTGTTCAAACTAAATCTGATTGTCATCTTCCAAAGAATGGGACCAATTCTATGCTTACTTCTTTTGTAAGAGTGTCAATGATAAATGTTAAGCATTTGTGACCATTTGTGACCATTTGTGACCTGCTCATATGTAACAAGTTAACTAAAACTATTCGTGATCATCTATGACTTGCAGTTATATAAGAAAGTACTCATATGTGATCAGTTGTGACCTATTCAAGTCATGCAAATTAACCAACTGTTGCTATTTGTGACAATCTGTGACTTGCGGTTATATAACACATTACTCACATGTGACTATTTGTGACCTGTTTAGACTGTGCGGTATTCTCACGTGACCTGTTCAGACCGTGCAAATATAGACTTTTATATCCATAAAAAACTTAGATGATATAAACAAAATCATTCAAATAAACACCAGTATTTTCACCTTGTACCAATTGACAAAAACAAATTCAAATTCAATTCCAAAACATATTACAAAGATAACATCTATCGACTACATCATAAAAATATCTGTTTGTCTAATTTTGAACAGCTATCAATCTAATCCATCATGAAAACAATGCTATCAATAGAAGTTCATTCATCTGACTTTGAACTTCCTTTTCCAATCTGCTTCAGTTGTTTATTTTTGAACAGCAACGCTGGAATTTCAAGTCTGGCATTCCCAGCATCAAATGACATTGGCATATTGCCAAGATCATTGTGCAACAAATACTGTGCATACTTTATGACAAAAATCCCACAATCATACCTGTAATATTTAAATAAGACAAACCATAAGTAATTACTAAATGTTGATGAAAAATGATAAAACTTGCAATGCCCATAACGAAACTTACCCATTTTGTTGTTGGGGTAAACCACGGACAATATTAACATGCAGTTCCCCAGATTTGTCACCAATACTATCACTAGTTTCCTTCCATAGCCCGACAAATTTTAA